TGCGTCGTTTTTTAGAGTTAACGGGCAAAATTGCACCATATATACTGGAGTTAAGAATGCTAACAATTCCTTGTAGACTATTTTGTGAGTATTTTTACATCTTGACCCCTTTTTTATTAATTTATCATCACATGTTACTTTTTATTGTATATTTTCAGATTTAATTTTTTTGGTCTAACTTGAACAAAATCATAACTAAATTAAGAAGATGACGTTGGAGCGGTTCAAGTCTTCAATCAAATCTCGTAGTCATATTTAAGGGAAAAATAATTACTGGAAGATTTCTGGAGCCACATGGACATGTTTTCACCTCCTATTAACATTGTTCACTTCGCCTACTACTGTCCAGCTTTAATGACCTACACTCAAAGCATCTTCTTAAGTCCTGACATAAGACCAATATCATCCTCATTCCTAAAAGTACTTCAAACCAATCAGTCTTTGTAATTTAGCTTATAAAATCATTTCTAACTTCCTCAGCAATTGCTTTAAGATAGTACTCGATAGGATTATTTAGGGGTATTCAACTTGTCCCGTCCTCGTCCTGGTCAATTCGGGACGGGCGATTATGGGATGGGACATAACAGTAACAAGGATGCGACGAGACGCAAAACAGGGTCATCCCATCTGTGAGTATTTTTTTAAAAGAATATTTATTAATAATTATCATTAGATTATTTAATTCACTTATCAATAATAATAAGGGGAAATCACAAAAAAAGATCCTGGAATTTGAAAAACACAGATAGGGACCTGTGACAACTTCACTATAAGTTTTGACAACTTCATGACATATTATTATTGTCAAAAACCATAGTGAAGTTGTCACAAGTCCCTATTTGCGTTTTTCAAATTTTAGGGTCTTTAATTGCAATTTTCCCTAATAATAATTATTTTTAATAGTAATTTTCAGCTCTTAAGTTGCAGTGTTATCTCAACAAAATCTTTTTCTTCAATAAAATAATTCATAAAGTCATTATACAGTGAGGTATTTTGTTTATAGTATTGTTTTTACACCTTTTTTATATTATATAATTTGAGTTTTCTATATAATATTTTTCATAATGTTTTTATCTTTAGAAACCCAATAAAAAAACAAACATTATAATATAAAAACAATTCATCCAAGATTACAATTTTTTTTCTTTTTTTTTTAAACAAAAAAGGAGATGGGACGTCCCATTTGATGGGATGAAAATCCCCTCCCCTCCCTATTCACTGGTACGGGTCTGTCTCAGTCCTATCTCATTGTGCGAACAGCCTTAGGATTATTATTGCTCCCAACCAATGTCTACCTTTTAAAGGGCGATTGATTTCAAATAACAAACTGCTTGCAGCTGACCTACTATCCCAAGTAATGGAGTCTTCTAACCTTGGGAAGGGGACTAAGGTATGCCAAGGTGCTCAAGATTGGGCAAATATCTGGAAACTTGAATTGATTCTGGAGGAGTAAATCACTTACTTATGATCATGTTGTTGGTTCCATTGAAAGAAGAACATGTGCTTGGCAATCAAAACTTTGATTTCGAGCTTCCAGACTTACTTAATATTTATGTGCCATGTTGCATTCAATTGCCACAAAACATTTGTGACCGAATATACGCATTTTGTAGAAGCTTTTTATGGAGATTCTCTGGTAGTAAGAAGATTCTTCTGTTAAGTGCATAGTGTGTTTCAGTAGCCCATCCATGGAGGTCATATATAATGCTTGTTGGATTTGGAAAGGTATTATTGCAAATATCCATATTGATAAATTAAAATGGAAAGTAGGTAATAGTATATTTATCCCTCTTAACTACCATCTTTAGTGGCTCGTGCAGCAAGATCAAGCTACCTTGATGAATTCTCGTCAAGTGATTGACCGCTTAGTGCATGCCCCTTGATTTGGGGTTTTAGTATTTGGAATTTGTCTATGATCTGTTCTTTATATTCTCATGACATTGCAGATACCATTCTTGCCACGCCTCTTTCGATTTTAAACCATTATGATGGTTTTATACTGGAGTACTAGAAATAACTCGGGTTTTTATATGATTAAAGATGGGGTTAAATACATTCAGACTCAAATAGATAGAACTGATGATTTTTTGAACTTCTTGTGGAATATTAGTCTTCCTCTGAAGTAGTTACTTTTCATTTGGAAGCTTCTTCATGATGCAGTTTCTTCATCTAGTTTTTCTTATCATTCTTCTTTCACTTATGAATAAGCGCTCCTATCCAATCAGGCAAAATAGCAATTTAATTCTATATTCTTGCTTACACCTACAAGCACACAAGTCTAATTTCCTGGATGCGCACGTATCACACTCATTCATTCCGAGTCTATTTTTATATTATTTTATTTTATTTTCATATAATTTCAAAATATACAAAATATGAAAAAGCAAATTAATTTTTTTAATTTAAATTGATATATGGATCGCTTTTTAGGATGCAAGTGTCCGGCATATTATCTAAAAGAAAAATAATTGAATGGAAACAACAACGCTACTATATATATCTTGTCTTATTTTATTAATTTGGACACATTAAAGAAATTAGTTAAATTAATTATTTACAATAAATTTGTGTTGATTTTTTTAAAATTATATAATGTGCATTAAAACTACCCCTTACCTGGAAACCAATCTTCTACGAGTTCTCCTTTCCACTGCAAATGCTTGCGGACTGCTCCTTTTTGTGGATCTATAATTCCAACTTGCGAATCACTGCAAACAAGCTTTTTGGATAAGTTCACTGTGTTGAAAAGAGATTTCTCTAAATTCCCCCCAAGGGCTTCTCTCTCCTTGACAACACTGGGAAGAAATACTTGTCCTTATCCATAATTTCTCATCCTTTAATAATAATGTGATTTCTAAACATTGTTTGCTTAATTTTAATTATTCTATAGTAGGATTGTTAAGTGTTTGTAATTTATAGTACTTTAGTTATTATGAATGTCATTTTTTCTTTGATTAAAAAAAACTATTTCTTTGTAGAAACTCCCTTACAATTTATTAAAAGGCATCTTTTTGAAAAAAAAAAAAATTATACATTCGACAGTCAAACTAAATTGATACTTATGGAAATGAATTTGTAAATTATAAGTTTAGGATTAAATTTAATTAATCCTATAATTAACTCTTACATTAAGAATAGTAGCACTACTTTCATGGAAATGAAAATTTGTTATATAATGGAATAAATGTACTGTCAACAAACTGTGGTGTGGGTTCCTCTTCGGTTATGAGGTCAATTTCATTGCGAATTCATCTTCTACTTTTTTTTGTCGTTTGTTATTTTCTCCTCTGAATTGTGGGAATATTTATTAGAAGATAACCCCGCATAAGTCAATAACATCAACCAATGAGTAGAATTAATTAATTCCCTTATATTCATATATTTACAATTCATATGTTTGAAACAAAAATAACGTAAAAAATATGATTTTACACGGAGCACATATAATATCAATAATAATTCTTTATCATTTTATTTTATATGACTTTTGTAATATATATATAAAAATATATATATTCTCCTATATAAATAGAGTATGTGAATCAAACTGAAAGCAAGAGAAGTATGAAACACTGGAGTCATCTTTACGTTGAAAGCCATAAAAAGGTGTCTCATGTGATCGCTACCGTTAGGTTTTGAGAGGGTTTGAGTCATCACTACGTTTATTATAACTATGAGAAGTGAAGCAGTTAATGATGGACTGCAACTACCTTCATTGTTAGACTGACTGAGACTTCCCCATTCTTCAAGAGAAAACTACTTCTTACTTTAATTTTAGTGTCTGTTAGACTAGAATTTCCACTTTTCCTCCAACCAAAATAAAAAAGCAATTTTGTAGTTTAAAGTCTTTAGTTATAAATAGGAAGAATGATTAAAAAAATAACCTCACTGAAAAATGCATGTGAATCATAAATCAGGACTCCGAAATGTCTAATTAATGAGGGATTGATATAGGATTAACCTTTTTTTTTGTGAAATTACGCAAACGTAGTCTTTAATTTGAAAAATGTAAAATGACAATAACAATTTAATAAGTAGTAAGTTTAACTTAACAAATGATTATAATTAAATGAGTGACTACTAATTTTACTGAGAGCGATTAGATGAGTTCACAAAAATTAATTCCAGAATAGACTCTAATAACTTCATTGGAACCAAGCCATGTCAACCAAGCATTTTGAAACTGGGTAAAATAGCATCTAGTTTTCATATTCGTCCAACACGACTATATTTTTTGTGTGCATCTAGCATTCTAAATTAAATTTTATGGCCCTCATTTTTCTTTAAAATGATTTTTAAAATTTAACAAACATAAATATATGTAATTTAAAGTTTCGAAATTATAAATTTTCCTTAATGTTTAAACTAAACACTTTATCCACAGGACTGGCCAACTTCTTACTTTGACACTAGCAAGCTACTTAGAACTTCTTTCAAGTGAATTAGTTTTATTCCTAAGTTACTTCTTTTTTAAAGCATTTTGGTGACAAGGTAGCACACATTTGTCAAGTTTATCCTCTTTTCTTTAACTTTCTCTGCATTAAGAAAGTAAAAATTTTATATGGGTAATTGAAGATTAATATATTGCAACTTTTAATCGCGGAAGTTTCCAGATTCATGCAATACCAGAAAATCTTTTAAGTACCTACGTAAGAAGGCAATACTAGAAAATCTACCTTTTCTAAATCATAAATAATAATTTAAATGGATTAAATCAAATCATTCAACAATGGGGGTTTAGTCAATAAAGTAATGATGACCTGTGAGTGATAAGGGAGGACAAACTATATTGACATTTCTTTCAATTATTATTCATCATTTATGTATAATTATTCATATACCTTAATAATTACTCATATCCAAAATGCTTCAAACTCGCCATATATAATAATCATGCACTAACTATTAACTAATTCTAGTTATCATTATTGTTGACTCTGTTTATATATATCGCTTGATATCAAAGCTTTCTTCTTCATCCTTCAAACCTAAACCCAACATCATGTTCTTCTCTCTCAATAACCTCTCTCTCTCTTCCTTCTTCTTCTTCATCTTCTTCTTCTTCGCTTCACCATTACAGTGCATTCTCTCAAGAACTCTGCAACACCATCCGTTTCCTTCCATTGCTGATCAACGTAGCTTCCAACGCCTTGTCCAAGCTTCAAGAGGAAGTCAAATCACTGGCATTTCACATATCAAGAAATATTTTTCACATTTTGGTTATCTTGATCCATTGCAGAACAGTACTAGTTTCTCTGACGATTTCGACGAGCGATTTGAGTCGGCGCTTTTCCGATACCAACGGAACCTCGGCCTGGCCATCACCGGCAAGCTCGACTCCGACACACTCAACCAGATCGTTACGCCAAGATGTGGCGTGCCAGACACAGTGCATGATGGTCATCATGGCTTGCATTCTACAAAACATTTCATGTATTTTCCGGGAAAACCACGGTGGATACGTTCGATGCCGATGACTCTCACGTACGGTTTCTCGCCGGAGAACATGATTCAGAACTTGAGCTTAAGGGAGATAAGGGAAGCGTTTAAACGCGCGTTCGCAAGATGGGCTTCGGTGATTCCCGTGAGTTTCGTGGAGGCTGAGGATTACGGTTTTGCAGATATCAAAATAGGGTTTTACAATGGCGACCATGGAGACGGAGAGCCATTTGACGGCGTCCTCGGCGTGCTAGCTCATTCATTCTCACCGGAGAGTGGGAGGCTCCACCTGGACGCGGCGGAGACGTGGGCGGTCAACTTCCGGTTGGAAAAATCACCGGTGGCGGTGGATTTAGAGTCGGTGGCGACGCATGAGATTGGGCATTTGTTGGGGTTGTCTCACAGTACAATGAAGGAAGCTGTGATGTTTCCAAGTTTGAAGCCAAGAGATAAGAGAGCAGAACTAAACATGGACGACATTAAAGGAGTTCAATATCTGTATGGATCAAACCCTAATTTCAGATACGATTCGTCTTTAGAATCTGATATGTCTGCAAATAATAATGAAGCTTCGCATTTGGAAGCCAAATCTTTGAGAAATATTGTTGGTAGTTTTATCATGTTTTCTTTAGTTCATCATATTTTTTGTTTCTGTTTATAGTTTTTGGGTTTTTTTTTTTTTTGGTTCAGTATGGGATTAGAGGGAGATACTAAATATGATGATGTTGGGTGAAATATATAGCAGAATAGTGTATAGATTAGAGATTGACAATATGTTTGCCGACAAAGTCAAAGGGAAAAGACTTTAATTGGTGATTGTAACATAATCTGATCTTTTTCATTATAGTTTTTAATGAATTTTATATTCGTGTAAAGTGTGTGTATCAGATTTATTGTCGTTTCGATAAATGGATTGGTCTTTGGTTTGGGTTCCTTTATGGTTTTTTCCTTGTTTATTGATCAAAGCCAATATAAAGTTGCCGATTAGTATGGGATTTCTATCTTTTGGCTTACAATGTGTGTGTGTGTGTGTAATACTGTAATATCCGGGAATTTGTCACCCTATGTACAAGGGACGTTGAGGAAATGGGAGGAAAAATTTTAATAAGTTGGATATAAATAATCAGGGAAATAGAGTTATAAAATTTTAATAAAGATAAGATACCAGATAAAAGAATGAGAAAAACTAATTAAAAGTCTTTGACCCCCAGTTCTCCATTTTTTTTCACATCGAACTTATTGAAAATTTTCTTTTCCTCCACTTCTCTCCCCTCCATTTTCCTCGTACCAAAGAAATTAAAGTTTTCAGATTGATCATTCCTGTATACTTTAAAAAAAGAATACAAAAAGCTACATCTCGAGGGATGGAGGAAAAAATATAAGAATTATGAAAAGTGAATTGAATTAAATTATTTATTTAGATTATTTATATTGAACCTATACAATTTCCATTTTTTAATTTTTACAAAATGAATATATACTATTTACAAATTATGAAATACTCATGTGTAATTAAGAAAAGAAAAAAATAAAATTGTTGTTATTGTATCCTCCCTAGTCCCTATTAACAGACACTTTCTAACAAAAATGGGCAGTTTTTATTAGAAATTATCAAGTGGGATATTAATTTTAAGATTACCCCTATTAAAGTTAAGTACAATTTTCTTTTTTCGTTCTTCAAAGTGTAATTCATGCTTAAAATATGGGTAAATCTGAAAATTTTTCATTTTTAAATAAATTTAATAAGTTAATCATATTTCTTTAATTTTGATAAGATAGTTGAAGATGCTTTATAATTAGGACCAAACTAAAAAACTATTTTCTCAAACATCATGTTAAGTTTTTTGTATCTTCGAACTTGGTCTTTTCCCAAGAGGATTCCTGTAGTAAAACTTGTGGCCCTTCTTCCAGTTTTTTTAAATAAAAAACTTGGTGGGTAGTAGGCACTCTTGTTGTTGTGATAATTTGGGCTTTGCACATCCCTTTTTTTCCTTCCCCCGACTCCCCAAAAAATGAAAGAAGCATGCCATCCATTGAATATGTGTGAATGTGGGCTAGTGGACTTGCTAACGTTTTTTTTTATTTTTAAGTTTTTCTATTTTCTTCTAAAATATTACAACTGGTTCGAATTGTTTCATCAAAATATCCAACACAACTAACAGAAGTTAAGTCAAATGGAATGAGCTAATCTCTTACAATGTGATAAATTAGGATTCAAATATCTGTCAGGAGAATTGTCCACATTTAGTACCCGATAGTATCTCGAATAAAATTACCTCTAATAGAATGATACTTATGCGTATAACTTAAAAAAAAAAAACGTATAAGCTAATGAGGGTTAGGTCTCATGGAAAGAACTAGTTTCTCACAATAAAATTAATCAAAGTTTGAATCTCTACTGAGAGAGGTACACACATTTAGTGTTCGACAGTGCCTTGAACATAGTTACCTTGACTAAGATGATTGTGGCTGGCATAAACAAATATCCACATATAATTATTATTTAGCCCATTTCTGAATTTATAAAATGTGGATGATCATCTTGGAAGTCAAATCTATTATTTGAAATTGAATGGATTTTAATATATTTGAGGGGGATCAGATTATATGCATATAAAAATAAAGCTTAAATGGTATAAAATTGATATTTGGGATTATCTATATTAACTTTCAACGGTTAAAGAGGTTATTTATAGATAATTTTAAGATTGTAAACATCTTATATATTCTAGCCTAAAAAGTTACAATACGCAATCAAAACTTACTGCATAAACAACGTTAACAGCTTGTTTGACTTAGAGGTGATGTAAAATATTATTTTCTGTCCTTAATATAAGAAGTTATTTGATTTTTATTTTAGTCTTAAATATAAGACCCCAATTCATTTTGTCTCCCATGTTTATCCTCTCTTTTTTCCCTAAGATGGTTCTTGTAATAATAATAGTTCTAGCCAATACACTTAATTAGTAAGGATATTTTAGGAAAGACATCACCTATTCATTACAAATAACTAATTTAACTATTTTTCTTAATCTACTTAAATTAGTCAACTAGCTCTTATATTAAGGATTGGAGGTAGTATGCTTGTACAATACTAGTGATAATCGTCCCAAAAAAAAATTACATAAACACTAGCATGCCCGGCTCCATTATTAGATAAATATTTTGTCTCTCCAATTCCATCACATTACTTTGTCACGTTACAAAACAAATTCTTGTCAAATTGTGTTGCACACCATATATATATAGCCAAAGTATGCTGGATAAGAACGACAATATAGTTACAATCCTACCCATCAAACCATGCATCTTCTTATTTTGGCAAATTATTCAAATTATCTTCAAGTGAATGTCTCCCTGTCGTTTGAATTTTTCTATTATTTGCTGTCATAACAGAAGTTAATAAAAGAATTCAGTAGCCTTTGTTTACCGAAAAAGAAGAAAAAGAAAGGAAGAAAGAATCAACATTAGCCATTATTATAGGATCAGTGGGAGCAACTCCACCAATCCTAATTTCCTTCAATTTAATAAGCAAGAAAGTAAATTTTGATATATTTTACAAAATCGAAAATAGGGTAAACATGGAAATTTACCCTTGATTTTTCCCCCTCTTTTGTGACGCATTGGTCACCCAAAATTGAAACTCTGTTTTTTGGACTTAAGGGAGGACATTGAATGATTGCATCATCTTTGATTCTAGGGTGATCAATGCATCTAAGAACATTAAGGATATCCTTGTACTTTAACCCTTATTTCATTTCAATTTGAGATTAAAATTCAAAACTTCAGCAAAAGATCTTTGATTTGGTCCTTAATACTCACAAAATTACATAATTTCCCTTATCTCTGAAATGTTCCACGTTACATTTTTGAAAGTGAGTTGTAAATTATTTTATAGTCAGTAGTAAATTATGAAATATGTGTGTATAATTCTTGTAACAATACTTTTGAAATGTCACATTGACTTTCAATAATTTGACCCGAGTATGGGAAACTTTTCTAACTCATGTTCTAACTTTCAACATGGAAAATTGAAAAAAGAAAACCCCACTACTAAAAAAAAGGTCTATTTTGGAGTTCTTTTTTTGTTTATGTAAAAAGGGACATGGACAAAAGAGACATAGATAGAAATTAGATATTTGTCTGTTTTTAACAAATGAATATGTAAGGCACATATTTTCTTCCATTGAAAAGAATCTACAAGGTGTCAGAGATATTTTTCATCTGATATTTTCTCATTAAAATGCCATATCAATTTTTTTGCCTCCATTACACTAGCAAACAAACATTTAAATCGTGGTATTATCAGAATATAGCATGATATCTTCAAAGGTTGCCCTTTAGTTGTCTCATAAACATCATCACCACAACCTATGTTCTTCTTCACTTTGTATAATAAAGTTTTACATTTTGGACACTCACTAAGATCGACATACTCTTCCCTGTATAATATGCAATAATTAGGAGAGGCATGTATCTTTTCATAGCTCATACCCATCTGAAACAAGATTTTCTTTGCTTGATACACACTATTTAAAAGAACATTATTAGTTGGAAGCATATCACCCGGCAATTGAAGTATCTCTGTAAAAATTTTATCAGTCTACCCGTTAGTTACCTTCAAATTGAATAATTTCAATGTGGCTATTAACCGTGTATACTTAGAACATTCAAGATAAAAAGCTATCTCCTCATCACTCTGCAAGATGTTCTTTATATGTGATCGTGCAAAGAACCCATTATAACATCATGAATCATATCACCCATTCTATCATTCAAGCTACCCACAACTTTTTCTTCTTCAACCAGTAGCGTTGTTCTTCTTTCCCCATGACATATCCATCTTGTATATAGAAGATTTATCCCCTCACAAAATAAGTGATCCCTTATATCATCAATAGTCAATCGTCTTCCATTTAAACAATTAACATATGGGCAAAAATATTTTCCATTTTTGTTATAAGCATTCCTTTTAACAAGTTCAGTTCTCATACTCCTCGCTCATTTACAAAGCACTCATTTAACTATGATCCATTCTGTTAATATATAAGTAATTCTAAACAATTTAATTCAAGACCAAAATTAACAATACTTTAATTCAATTCAGCTCAATTCCAAGAAAATTAAAGCAACTCAAAGCTAATTTCAACAATTTAATTTAGCAAATTGAACAATTTAGAAAATTTAGAAGTAAGAAACATAAATTAAAACTTTGTACAAGAAATAAAGGATTACCTAATATTCATTAAGTTGATATTTTGTAACTTGATCTCAAATATTAGAATTGCTAACTTTATTATTCAACTTAAATAAAAGTATAAGAAGTTAATATTTTAAATATATTTTTATAAGTTATTGCAAATTGACTTTTTTTAATACACAAAGAAATAAAATTAATTAATTACATAGTTAGTATGTATAGTTAATATATTTTAACATAAACTTTATTATGTATTAATATTGATAATGGTAATTCATGCATGATTAATTATCCAAAGACTGCCAATAAAATTTTCTAGGACATGGGCAAATTTTATTCATTTTCAAGGAATAAAATTGATCATACTTTATCATCTAAGATTTTTTTCTTGAATAAATAAAACATGTTTGCTTCTATTTAAACTCGCCAATTTATTCCATCTAACCATTGTTTTTAGCTCAAATTCACATAGCTCATATACATATGTATTTCATTAAACGCCTAAAGTATAATAATAAAATCTTTAAAATCAATCTTTCTTCATAATTCATGGCTATAACAAATTAAAGAGAAACAAATAAACCATTGGCCAGACATTTAAATTGCAACAATAAAGTCACAAAACTCAAATTCATTGCTTATACAAAGAGGCATTTCATCAAACATCTCAATTGC